ATGAGAGAAAATGCAACGAATTTTTCTGAAATTTTTGGCTTTCATCTTGACTTGAGTTTGTTTCGTTGGAAAAAATCTTTGAACAAAGGAAAATGATCAAAATTTTAAAAACTGAAATAGTTCATAGTTATTTTTCCTTCCCACACTAATTTATTAATTAGTGATATACTTTGGATATAGCACGCTTCTATTCATAATAGAAAGATGTCTGCGCGAGGATTAAATAAAACTCATCAGAAGTTTCGCTTACTTGGAAATGTATCTGTGATGTAATTTACGCTTCTGTGTTCTGAGATGTTTTCCACGCATACCATACCGCTCGATAGTTGTTTTGGGGCAGAGATTTAAATGAGTACTTTAGGAGGAAAAATAGTGGGTTCAAAGCTTGCATGGAACCCGTGCTTGTCCAAAATGTTCAGTAAAACTCCATCGTATCTTAAATTCGTCTGTCAATAACTCGTCATGTTTAGGCTATAAAACTTTTGCATGTTTCAGCTATATCATATGGCGACATTTTTTAATTTTAACCCATATAGCGGCTTTTGCAACAGAGCTCTGCATGCAGTTTCAAGCGTTATAGCTAAAAAACTAAGTGGGGTTTTGCTACTATTGACTTCGTATTGCATTGGTTTTGCTGAACTATATCTAGAAAAATGATACTATTGGTCTCTAAATGTTTTTGACTTTTTGTCTGTCACATATCTAGATTTTAGGGCTCCAAGATCGAACGTGAACTCTGAGGCTCACGAACAACCATTTGTTAGAAATGATTTTAAAAGTTTCAAATTTTTTTCCAAAACATATTTTTTTTTTGCAGAAAACTCCTTTTTATGTTGAAATTTCGGTTAAAATCATGAGACTGCCTCGTTCTCTAGATTCATTTTAGAGGTTTTTTAGGTTCATCTAGAGACTCTAGATCGATGAATGAAGGTTTTTCATTTTCTAAAGATTAAAAAAGTTTATGTGCATTTATTATATGTTTTAATGCGTCTGTCACTATCTCTAAATGTGTTAGCTATCAAATTTTTCCATGTTAATTCTGTTCCATATGGCCGACAACTTTAAACTAAAGATCGGTTTTTATCTCAGAGCTTTGCATGCGTGTTCAAGCACTAAAGCAAAACCAGACTGCTCCTCTTATACCTGGGCGAAGCCCAGATTATTCTGACTGCACTTTGTATGGCCAATTTAAAAGTTTTTCAGTAAAAAAATTGACAATATAATTGAATTTTTTCAAAGTTTATCCCCCTATACACTAATATAATCTACAAAGGGATGTATTTAGCGTCTTGTTTCCTAATAGTACGACCAAATGACTTAATGACTTGCCTCCATTCAATTTGGAATGCATTAATCCCCCGCTGACGCATGTTGTAAGAGCGCAATATATCGCGCGTTTATTTTTTCAAATAATCAAATTTCAAACCCTCTTAACTTTACAAAAAATTATCACAGGATATTTTTTAAATTTGAGCTCAAGAAATCAATATCTTTAAGGTGGTATAAAAATTCTGTCAAAAATGCTTGGTTAATTAATGCTAAAATAGTCTGTTAAGTCTGGTTAAAATTGACTGAATAAAAAAACACCCTAAGCTTAAAGATTGCGAACTTTGTTCGAAAGTTGGAATAATAATTGTGTACGAATTTTTCTGTTCTTGGCATGATTTCGTTTTTTTGCCGGTTACTAAACAAAATTGCAGGGCTCCAAGTTTCTTTTGTTCATTTCCTTTGTTAAAAGTAAAGCAAACTCCACCATCGCGCAGCAAAAATGCAAAGCTCACGAAAAAGCTAATGATTTCTAGTTTCGAAAAAGGTTTTTAATTTTCGGATTTCCCAGCCATGCATGAACTAATCTTAAAATTCAAAGAGCTTGAAATGGATGTATTTTTATCTTCGAAATTTGAAAGTTGAAAAACGTTCCAAAGTTTTGATCAATTTATTTTCCGGTTTCCTTGTTTCTTTTACAATTTTTCAACCATCTATTAGCTATTTACTAAAGTGTGCTTCAAAAGACAAGTCATATCTGCTTTAAAATAGTTCTTCTGATGGCAATTCGAGTTATCGACTTATTTGGCGGACATAATCGTTTCACTGTTATTGAACAAGACTGCTCGTACCAGGACAAAGCCCTGAATGTTCCCACCGACTGCCCATTAATTGGCCTCGAGTCGTTTTTGGTATATGAACTTTTGACAATTACAAGTTTTAGGCTGATAATATCAAAGTGTTATCAAAGAGTGATTTATAGAATAAATAAGACCAAATAGCTTGCCTCAATTCAATTTGGAACGATAATGAGTGCGGATAATTTGCCACGCATAAATAATTTGCGCATTGAAACAAATTATCAAAATACTTATCCAGAAGCAAAGCCGCACTTTAGTCAAGTGCAAGCATACTAGCTTGGCAAACACCAGATTTCCGGATCGATGCCCATGCGCAGTCAACTTTTCTAAAATTGGTCATAAAAAACAACCCCTTTTATAAACCAATCTTTGAAAGTCGGAACAATTAGCAGTATATTCTTTACCTATTGGATGCTCAGTTGCTACTGCGTGTGCCTCAAGTATAAAAAGTTGCGTTCCTGAAAGTAACATTTTTTTTACAATGTTGCCAAATATGAAGATGCTGCTTTGAAAAGATTCAACTGTTTCCTATAATTTCTATAGCCCAATTGATAGAAAGTAACAATAAGATTAACATTCTTCTAAAGATTTGAATTGAAAATGTTTGTAAAGAATTGCATTAAACTAAAATTGAATAGATTTTGAAAACAAGTTGAACTCGCTGAATACCCCTAGTTTTTGCTGTTTTTATTAGTTTTTCTATTTCCACGAAGATGGATAATACGCGCGATTCTCATGCAAATGTTGAACTAATATCGCTAAAAGTAATCAGCTTCCAATGATGGTTTTTTCTTGACTTATCTTCGTTGGTTTGTTTTCGCCCTCGAAGTACCTTTCAAGTCTAAATGAAAAATAAAGCCTTCTTTTTCTATGAGCTCTTTATCTTTTTCTTATTACATTTTTTTAGATTACTACCAACTTTCCTTGTACGGTTCTTCATATTCATACGCTTCCTTCTATATGCAATAAAAGGTGATTCTGCTGTATGGAATTTCATTCAACCTAACCGGATATTGCTCCATTTTTGCTAACATGCGCCCGAAATTTTTAAGTATGACGTTGTTTGACCCAGTTTATAACTTGAATTTTTTACTACCCAGCTCTGCAAATTTTTGTGCGAAAATCTTGCTCCTTGAGTTGTTCGAAAAAAATCCCCCCGAGAATTCATGTTTTTGGTTATGTTATCGCTGCTAAGACTTGAAAACTGTTTAAGCCTAACCAGAAATCGAATAACTACTTCAATAATAGAAGATTAACGCTTCTCACTGGATTTTATCTCTTTTTGACCTCAGTTGCTCTTAGCATCCAGTGAAAATCCAGCTCAGTTCTTTTAAGTTACTTGCTTCAAGGGGTTATCCTTTACCCTTTTTATCGATTACGTCACTATAAACCTATTCGCAAGCCACCGAGCAAAAATTTTAGCTGCAAATCCGAATCGCTCTGTTTTTTTTTTTCCATTTCCTACCGTCTCTAATTTCCATTAGTCCATTTCCCTCCTTTTCCTTTTAGTCGTCTTCAGTTTTTAATGTGCTTTTTTTGCTTTGATGTTTTGTAGCGCTCCTCTATTTCATAATTAAGTTTGATTTTATCGATAATATAGCGTTGTTTAGCTTTTTTGACATTTCTATGATAGCGATACATGTGTTTCAAATTTTGGTACTCACCTGAAAACAGTCAATTAGGATTTTTATGGGATTTTTTATGGCATAGTTATTATGGTTTTACAAGTAGTACAGCGTAGTATTTCAGTACAATTTTTTTTGATACTTTAAATGATTTTTTTTGCTCCGACTCCGAGCACACTCTAAGTGTGCTAATAACGTAGGGATAAGGCGGACTAGTTTTTCACGATAATTTGTGTACCTCGAAGAATCCTCTATTAGTTTTTCAACAATATAATTAAATATTTAATGATGTATGATTTGAAGTTTGATATGTTTTTCCTGACATCACATGTCTTATTTAAAAATCGAAACTTTCAAAATTAAAAAAAAAAATCAAAAAAAGGTAGCATGTTTTTCTCTCTAAATGTTCGGAAATTTGAAAAAATGGTCAAAAAATTTTGTGCATTTTGCTCAGCAACCATATACTCCTGTTAGTCTTGTTCAATTTTGCGCTGAATTTTTCATTTCAATTCATTAACGAAGCGTGAAGGCCACGCCATAGCGTGTCCCTCATGAAGTTGGTTCATACTGTCAAGAATCCATCTATGGTTCTTGTTCTGCATTTTGAGCCAAAGGCGGCGTTCATTCAAACGCAACCAAGTATTGAGTTTTATCGGATAAGAACTGCAAATATGCTTTTATTTTTTCCCATTCAATTCTTTTCAGCTCAGTCATATTAATTCAAATGGCAAAGATAGATCCCCTTTATTATTTGTTTCCACCTGCTTGGCAGATTGCATAACGATTTTTATTTTTTTTCCATTTGGCATCGGCAATGAGATCTCATCGATATGACATGCTGTTTCAAGCATCACTGAATCTATTAATCGCAAATCGATCCCCCTTCTTTCTTTGATGATAAACAGCGAAGAGCTCAGACTGAATTTTTAATGTTCAACTGCAGTCGCTGCTGCTCAAAAACCGCAAACTAGAACTTGATAGGAAGTGTCTTGTAGCTTGAAGTTTTTGTTCCATCGCTGGTCATGCTGAAAACTTCCATACAATATTTTTATAAGTTCATTTAAAAAACAAGTTCATAAAAAAAATTCGTGAACGAAGTTCGGTGAAGTTATTAAAGGAATGAAGATGTGAAGTAATATTAGCGAAATCGTCAAGATATTTTTCGTCTTAAACTATTTATGTATTAAATTCGACATTCAAACCCGGGACTTGGAAGTTTATTTTAAGTGTTGGTGTGCGGCCAAGTAAAGCAGTTTAGACATATCTAAGCTGAAGATAATTGGCCTAAACTAACCAAGTTACTAGCCCTTTTAGACCATGTTTAACAGTGGCGATTACAACCTGGAACAAATCATGCGTGAAATGTTTGTTTTTATGCTCTTTGACAGAAATGTTGACTAGCTTTTTCGTTAGAACATGGTTTTCATTATGTATTTGGTTCAGGTTTTTGAGAAGTACCCTTCATTTAAACTTCCTTAAGTTTTTGGAAAGCCTTCAGAAAATAAGAAAAATTTGTAAAAGTAGTCTAAGTTTTAATTTTCCTATTGTTACAACTTCAAGTAAAACTTTCAGTATTTCATGATAAAACGATGGCAATCATTTTAAGTCGAAGGCCGCTCATTATGAGCATCATGCTTCGAAATCTGTCTTCGAAAAGTACAACCGTATTACAATATGAAAGTCGTGGTATTGTGTCGAGTTGCTTGGAATGTGTGGCACTAAAGGGATGGAAATTCCGAACAATCTCGGCCCGAGAGTTGAATCTGAGTTCTATAAAAAACGAAAGTGAGCGAATTCAACGACATTCGAACAGTCTTTGCTGGAGCTGTAATTCAAAAGGAAAAAATTTATTTTTCTGCGAGAATTGCGGAACTGTGTTACAATTATCAGTTGTCACCTTGGACTCAAAACAATCGAATCACCAGGGATCTTTGCCGACCTACTTTGATCTTTTTAACTTAGAAGCTTCTTTTGAAGTTGACCCTGGAAAAGTTAAGGAAAACTATCGCCAGTTGCAAACTAAACTCCACCCAGACAAATTTTCAAACAGAAGTTCCAAAGAGCAGGACTTTTCTCAAGAGATCTCTAGTCTGTTGAACAATGCATTAAATGTGATCCTATCTCCATACCTGCGCGCGAAGTATCTATTGAAAGTTCTTTACGATGAAGATGTTCAAGACGAAGCGAGCAGCGCTGACAAGGAAATACCACAATCGGCTGATTTTTTAATGACAATTATGGAATGGAACGAAATTCTGGAGGAAAAAGACGGCCGCGATTTGAAATCACTTCAAAAAAAATTAGAAAAAAGCAGAAATGAAATTTTGAATAATTTGAAGCTAGCATTCACTTCGAATAACATAAAAGATGCCAAAGAGAATTTAGCGAAGTTGAAATATTTTGACAACCTATCAGAGAAACTGAAGTTTAAAATTGAATGATTCGTAATTAAGTTTTTCTGAATTTGAAACTGGTTATGATTTTTGTTCTTCGTTATACACTTCAGTTACTGTCAAAAATGAGACCTGGTTTGCCATATGAATCATAATGGTATTGCCATATGAAATGAGTTGAGATGAACATTTTCATAGTTATTTCCTTACAGAAATGTCACATTTACATGTACTTTGCTTCCTGTCGTAAGATGTGACAGGTTTTAATTTCTATTAGCTATATTCGCTATTCATTTTTTCAAATGTTCTCATATTTTCCTCATGTTGTATCGTTTCCTGCAAATATGGTATAGTAGTCATAATTGCCATTTAGCTGCAAATTATCTGAAGCTTCAGTGAGCAGTATTTAGCTGAGCTCAAGAAAGCGGAAAATTTGCAGGAAATAAGGAAAAGTAGTAGGAGTTCAAGATTTAATTGTAATATTACCTCTAATTAGCTTTAAAAAAGGAAGTGAATTGACAGATGATGGATAAGATGGTAGAAATGATGATGATTATGGGTTTACTGCTTGATAATATACCAGGGAAATGAAAACTAGGTCACGTTTGCTAACTAGTTCACGTTGCACACCTATTTCAACAAAATACGGAGAGTTTATTAATTCGCTTTGGCCAGGGGCTCTTTTCAATATATTTATGCTAACTGTATTGTACACGGAAAAGTAAATGGGGCTAATGGTATACCGTTTGTTTATTGTTAACGCCAGTTTTCAGTAGGTGCGTAGCGTTCCTTTTCTGAACGTCAAATTTTTATGGGCCGTATAGTATGAAGACTATGAAGTATGAAGAAAGGTATAGTACCTTGTGAATGTACCGTCCAAATGTGTTTCTGTATTTGCTTTTGCTATCTCTGTATGTTAAGGCGGTCTAGGTAGTAGTTGCGTATGCTGCATTGCATGGGCTTATTGACTTGGAACAAACTAGCAACTGAGCCGAGCCATTAAGGGAGAATTGAAATTGAAGGTGAAGGGGAAAGGAGAAAAGGAAAGGGAAAGACAGAAGGGGAATTGGAAGACAGAGTAATTCCATTTGCTTCCTCTGTTTTTTCTCTCTTTCTAGCTCTTCCTCCTCTCAGTTATAATAATAGCTGACAAGATCTTCTTTTTTTGTCCCTGACCTCTATCCAAATTTTAATGATTTTTTAATGACAATTATGGAATGGAACGAAATTCTGGAGGAAAAAGACGGCCGCGATTTGAAATCACTTCAAAAAAAATTAGAAAAAAGCAGAAATGAAATTTTGAATAATTTGAAGCTAGCATTCACTTCGAATAACATAAAAGATGCCAAAGAGAATTTAGCGAAGTTGAAATATTTTGACAACCTATCAGAGAAACTGAAGTTTAAAATTGAATGATTCGTAATTAAGTTTTTCTGAATTTGAAACTGGTTATGATTTTTGTTCTTTGTTATACACTTCAGTTACTGTCAAAAATGAGACCTGGTTTGCCATATGAATCATAATGGTATTGCCATATGAAATGAGTTGAGATGAACATTTTCATAGTTATTTCCTTACAGAAATGTCACATTTACATGTACTTTGCTTCCTGTCGTAAGATGTGACAGGTTTTAATTTCTATTAGCTATATTCGCTATTCATTTTTTCAAATGTTCTCATATTTTCCTCATGTTGTATCGTTTCCTGCAAATATGGTATAGTAGTCATAATTGCCATTTAGCTGCAAATTATCTGAAGCTTCAGTGAGCAGTATTTAGCTGAGCTCAAGAAAGCGGAAAATTTGCAGGAAATAAGGAAAAGTAGTAGGAGTTCAAGATTTAATTGTAATATTACCTCTAATTAGCTTTAAAAAAGGAAGTGAATTGACAGATGATGGATAAGATGGTAGAAATGATGATGATTATGGGTTTACTGCTTGATAATATACCAGGGAAATGAAAACTAGGTCACGTTTGCTAACTAGTTCACGTTGCACACCTATTTCAACAAAATACGGAGAGTTTATTAATTCGCTTTGGCCAGGGGCTCTTTTCAATATATTTATGCTAACTGTATTGTACACGGAAAAGTAAATGGGGCTAATGGTATACCGTTTGTTTATTGTTAACGCCAGTTTTCAGTAGGTGCGTAGCGTTCCTTTTCTGAACGTCAAATTTTTATGGGCCGTATAGTATGAAGACTATGAAGTATGAAGAAAGGTATAGTACCTTGTGAATGTACCGTCCAAATGTGTTTCTGTATTTGCTTTTGCTATCTCTGTATGTTAAGGCGGTCTAGGTAGTAGTTGCGTATGCTGCATTGCATGGGCTTATTGACTTGGAACAAACTAGCAACTGAGCCGAGCCATTAAGGGAGAATTGAAATTGAAGGTGAAGGGGAAAGGAGAAAAGGAAAGGGAAAGACAGAAGGGGAATTGGAAGACAGAGTAATTCCATTTGCTTCCTCTGTTTTTTCTCTCTTTCTAGCTCTTCCTCCTCTCAGTTATAATAATAGCTGACAAGATCTTCTTTTTTTGTCCCTGACCTCTATCCAAATTCATGCTTTGGTCCAAAACTAACTAATTCGAATTAGTTAAAAATAAGGAAAACAAAACTGCTCGTATCAGAGCCAAACTGCCAATGTTATGACCGTTATTTGATCTTGCTTTGACTTGGTTTTAGCGTAAATGATAAAGGCACCTCCCAGAACTTCTGAGTCTCCCTTGATTTTGTTCTCTAAATTGTTTAAGTTGTCTAGATGTGATGTATTTGGAGCATCGACTTTGCAACTCCTTGCTGATTACGCGTCGTATAGAAATTTTAAAACAGTGCGCTCTAAAAATCGCTATCAAATTTGGGAGTTTTCGATTGTCTTTCAACGAAAATGGAGAGAAAAAATTCAAAAGTATATATTTGAATAAATTCCACCAGAAAGTGCTCTCTTTTTTAAATTGTCTAGTTATGATGTCATCGAATAACAAAGTCGCAGTACATTGCTGATTCTGCGTTGTGCATAGAAAGTCTCAAACAGAGTGCGCATTAAACAGCCTCCTTCCATTCGGGCAGTTTGCAAATATCTTTTAACGAAATATGGTGAAAGAGCCATTTCAAAAAAATACATGAATAAGTTCGATTGAAAATTATTCTTTCATTCATGGAAACTTGTCTGGAAAAATATCAGTAGACTAAATTGTTCTTCAGTGCAATCCTATGAAATTTTTTTTAAAACCACACCACTCTAAAGGGGTGGAAAGGAATTTTGCCGTAGGGTTTGTTGTTTTCCGCCCAATTTTAGTTACCTCAAGAACAACTTGTACGAGGTCATCATCGTACTAGTCTTCATAATTGTCTATTATTTTTTTAAAGAAAAATTCTGAAGAGTTGTTCACTCTCAAAGTTTGTTCATTCTCTTCACTTTTGTATACTTCAAAAATTTAACTTAGTTTCCTACGCTCTCCGATTACAAAAGTGCATGATTTGGCGTTGAAAACATAGACTTAAGGTTCTGAAACTGGATTTAAATTTCTAGGTTTTCCAGCGAATTGGAAAAATTATGTATAAGCTCGGTTTTCTATTAGTCGGTTAGTTTTACGGAAAGAAGTACTGATCCTAAAAACTACTTGAACATTAAACAGCTTCAACGTGATGTATCTTTTTTCTTCGAAGCTCGAAAAATGATTTAGCTTTGTTTCGGATCCCAAACAAATTCAAAGATTTTGTCTTAGTGTCGAAAAAATCTAGTCTGAATTGTTTTATTTTAAAGACTGTCTCTTCAGTTTTTTTCCAATGCTTTTGCTATTATTAATTGATCATTCCGGCTCATTAATAGATAAGTTTCCTATTTGTGACTAAAAAACAAACGTCAATAAAAAGTATACGATTTAGAAAAAAAATTACTTCGACTTTTTGTTGTATAACTTTGCATCTTTAGAGAATTCTGTGCTATTGTACAGCATCAGACTATCTTTGATTAAATAAATTACAGGTTTTTTTCTGGCAATGATGTAGTCTACCAGAAAGTATGCCATTTAAGAAGTAAAAAGCCATCATTTAGTTCATAAACTGAAAATAGATTTTGACTCAATTTTTACGCCTATGCTGTGTTTTTAGCCATAAAATTAGTTCATTTGTTTTTTTTTTAGTTTCAAGGCTGAAAATTACGTAAACAGCACTCTCCAAATACGAACGTGGAAATGGCGCGAAAAAAATTGTGAACGATTTCTAGTTTCGAAAGGGAATTTAATTTTTAGATTTCCAGCGGAATAAAACTTCACTTATTGATCCAGTTTTTTCAAGTTGAGTTATTGTTAACAAAAAAAGCGCCAATTGTAAATTGTTCTAGCAACTCAACGAGCTGAAAGGGCATCTATTTTTTTCTTTGAAATCTGAAAGTTGAAATTTTTTCATAAAATTTTGTGTTTTTTTTCTGTTTACCCGCGTTTATTACTCTTTTTCAAATCTCAATTGGCTATGTTTTGAAATGTCATTTAAAATGTGAGAATTTTCTAAAAATGAAATATTTTTATTATTGAACGCTATTAGATCTTATTCAAAGCGAAATCAAAAATGGCATTAAAAAGTCTTTTGAAAAAACAAGTCATTTTTTGTTTGTTTGCTTGCGTTCATTGACAATTTTCCAGCGGTTTATTGGCGCTGTTTTTAGAAACTGCTCCTAAAAACGAAAAATACCTTCAGAAGTGGTTGGAACAATATTAAGGTTAATCAGTATTAACAAGATCCATGAAATTTACAATGTTCAGAAAATTACAAAGCTCCAAACAATTTACTTTTCTATTAACTATTACTTTTCTATTAATCTATTAACGTTGGTCAACAAAACCCAGGGTGTATCAGGGCAAAACCCTGAATGTTCAGACTGTCCTTTAACTTGTTTCGAATAGTTTTTTTAAATTAGATTTTGATAAACTATAAATTTTGTACTGCCAATATCAATCAAAAGGTGCTAAATTTTGAGTCCAGTTTATATGACCAATTAGTATGCCTTATTTCAGTTTGGAACGATTATGACTGTGGGATAGTTCGCCACGAATAAATAAAAGGGCGCATTAAAATTAGG